GCCACGCGCCACCGCACGGGCTGGAGCAGGAGGAGACGCCGCTGTGATCTCCATGACTGCCATGGTGCCCCCTGCCGTGGCCTGGGGCAGCCTTAGGCACCCCCCCCCCCACCCTGCCCCGCAGAGTCTGGGTGGGATCGCCAGCAGGGGTCCAAATATCTGCAAGGTCTGAACCTTGAAATTCCTTGGCGCCATCTGGAAAGGAGACCCTGGGGGGCAGGAAGTGGACAGTGGCCAAGCCTCCAGCCTCTGGGAGGTCTTGGCAGGTGCCCTTGTAAGGCCGCCTCGTGGATTCTTCTGTACACCTGACCCGGTTTTGAACTGAGCTGGCACTTGTTACTATTCCCATTGTCACTCCCGACTCAGGGACTGGAAGGGCCCTGGGACCACAGAGCCCAGGCTCCGTGTTTGAGTTCTTGCACTCTGTGTCCATTCTCTCATCAACTCTGCCAGGGAAACCGAGACAAGCAAAATAGTATCTGCCCACAATACCAACTTGATTCCAGTCCCAGGCTGGCCACTCTCAGGGCCCTAGGTCAGAAGCCCTGACTCAGGAACAATTCACAGGCCGAGGGGTTGGGGCCGTGGTTGCCCTAGGCCCTGTGTGATATCATGTCCACTTACCAGCTCTGTGAACCACCTGTCTCCTTATGGACTGGGTACAATTGGAGAAACATCTGTTTGTTCATTTTTTTTGTGTGGAGACTCCCAGAGCCTGGCACTTGTCCTACCTGGCAGCCTCTGGGTACCAGGTGTCCTGTGCCCAAACACCTGCTCTCTGGCTTGAGTTGTCCCACTTGATACTGGCAGATGGCCCAGGCTGGGTTAGAGGTTGCACTGGCCCCATGGGTGCACCCACACAGCCCCAGCTAAGTCGAGTGGGGCCTTCATTAGCAAGCAACTTTTGTTCAGACTTAGAGCCAGTCCTTAAGTGGACCTGGGCCAGGTGGTTGGTCTGACCCCACCTAACACAACAGAGGGAAGCTGGTGGAAGCCCTGCCCTTGAGAGCTGCTGTTTCATGGGAGAGCTAAGGGGACTTAGCTCAGACCCCTGGCCCTGGGGCTGTTGTAGACCTCCTGCCACTCCCTCTGAGGTTTCAGGGACGGTGGCCTTAGCACTCCTCCTGCAACCTCCCACCCAGCCAGGCCTCTGGAAGGAAACCACTATCTGACTGTCCTAGGGGGAGCAGGGAGCCAGGAAAGGGGCCACTGAGTTGGCCCTCATCTGCCCACCCATTCCTCAGAGGTAGGGTTTTGTGTGAAGACGAGGTAGTGAAGGATTAAAGGGATAATGGACTTCAAGACACTCCTAGAGGCTTTTCTAAAGAAGCCAGGCTCAGCTCTGCTCAGGAAAGACTTCATGCAGTGCTCAAGTGCTCACAGCCATCACAGGCCAGGATTACTAGCAGTCTGTAGTGTTTTCATGGTGCACATTGAGTCCCTGATGGGAAAATCTCTACCAGTTGCTGTTGAGAAAAACGAGGGACAGCAAAAGGAACATTTAGTGCGGTGTTTGTTCACCAATACAGAGAAGGCTCTTTATCCTAAAGGGAGTGGGGCTGCTCATTATTTGAACTGAATCATTAGCTCAGCCATCACAGATAAAGAAGTGTCGGTTGGTTTTCAGTAGATGTTTTCCCACACTTTGCAACCATTTTAATAAACTCTAAAGAGCACAAAACCCAGCCATGATCTGTACAACAAAACCTGCCCGTAAGTGATCCCAGACCAGCAGGCCCTGAGCCACGGCCACCAACAGCAACTTTAGGAAGGCAATGCTCTGACCATTCCCTGCAGGAGTGGTTCATCCAGAGCAGGCTGGGTCCACAGCCCAGTCAGTCCGGCACTCCAGCTGCCTTAACAACTCCCCGGGACCACGGGACCCAGATCCAGTTTCCAGCTGCAGGGCTAGAGGCTGAGTCAGGTAAAGCAGCTCAAGGGCAGTTCCTGGGACCCACTCAACTGCCAGGTGGTGAATCCATTTGACACCTATCTCCTGGACAAACCCTTTAGCCCTGTGTTTTTGGGGGAGGAGGGGGTAGGCAGATTTTCTGTTAGCTGAACAGCAGTCTAGTAAGCACAGCCAGACATGAAGTTCCAGACATGAAGCCTCACAGAACCCCAAAACCCACATTTCAGTGATCGAGAGACACCTCCATCTGTTAACACAGTGTTATAAACCCTAGTACTGTGGATACATTTCATAAATGAGAATCCTAGCTGTTCTTGTCACTGTAAAACAGAATGTAAACAATGTCTTATGAATGTATTTCCTTAGGAAAACTGTTGTAAAATTTTTTATTAGGAAAGAATTTCTATTTATTTAAATACTGAACTTTGGCCTACTTTGTGGTAGGCTATAAAGCACACAAATTTAGGAGTCGCTACTTCTCACTTCTGTATCTTGAAAATAATTTTGTCACAATGCTCGCCTACTGCATACTATTGATCTATTATGAAAAGAATTTTTAAAGCAAGAATTTCATTGAAATTGGAATTGAAATGTGTAAGTTATGAGTGGTGAAATTGTGAATTTAATTTTGTGAAAATGATCTTAGTCAAACTTTGTGTAACCCTAATCACAATCGATGTGCCTTACAGTGGCCCTCAATGTGCTGTTGACAGTGTCTGCGCAGGGGGCCCATCATAGAACCTGCCACAACTGATTGATCAAATCTATTAAAAAGATTTCAAGGCATTTTTTTGGTGCAAACGTTATCAATGAGAAATCACATCAAAGAGAACATAAGGAGCAGCTCCTGAAGGCAGACATTGCTCTGGTGCTGGAGTTAACGTTGACCTGTGTGCACATGAGAGAGGGAGGGAGGGGGGGCACTTCTGGCTGGTACCAGCATTGGACACACAGCTGTGGGCACAGCCTGGGCCCTGGAAACTGGTTTTTCCCCAGGAGAGACAGGTGAACACTACCACTCCCTTAGACTCGTCACAGCACAGAGAGGACAGGCCCAGGAAGGATGGGAGCAGTGCCCATCCAGCCTAAGTGGGAGAATGAAGCACCTGAAACATCAAGTGGGGAGGGGAGGAGCCTGGGGCTAAAACCAGAACTAGCCTTGAGAAAAAGACCCGAGTTAACTCGTGACTGGTTAACGAATGTCAACTCTACTTCAGTTTTGATTCTTTCAAGAAAAAGTCCTATTTGTGAATTTTTCGTGTCTCGTGAGGGTGAAAGCGCAACATACTTTGCCATCGGGAACATGTCTTAGGAGGAAACCAGCCTGTCGGGACACAATGTCTCGTGAGGGTGAAAGCGCAACATACTTGCGAACATGTCTTAGGAGGAAACCAGCCTGTCGGGACACACTCAGAGGTTCCGAGCAGCCCGACACTGTGCACAAGCAGTGCTGAAGGGAGGGAGCAGCACAGACGTCTTCCTGAGGGACGACCCTCCAGCCTGAACTGGCCAGTCCCTGGGAGCCTGAATCAAGGGTGGAAGGGGCCTGCGACAGAGGAACAGGCAAACTCCTCTCCTTCCTGTCTTAGTCAGCACTGTGCAGCTGTACCAGGCACCACTCACCTAAGAAATCTCGCTCACTGGGATGGAGGGTGAAGAAAGTTTGGGGAGGCACACGCAGGGGCTCACCATGTATCCTGGATGGACCCTTCCATGAACCTGGTATGAAGATTAATGTGTAAAACAAAGCTACCACTGAAGGCAGCCATGGAGAGACAGCTGAGTAACAGAAAAAGGGTCTCAGGGACCCTGAGTCAGGAATACGCAAGGCCCATAAATCTGAACCGCCGAGGGCTGCCTGTGTGGGTGTGGAGCAGCGGGCCACAAGGAGACCGGTGGGACCTGTCCAGGCGGGTGAGGGCGGCAGGGAGATGGGGGCGCCTTCAGATGCTGTGTCTGGGCCCCTGTGGTCACCACTAGTAAGAAACAACTGGGAAACTCATTTCCCACAGCGTTTACTTTTATTGAACAGCAGCATCAGAAGTGCTGACACTACAGAAGGGAGATGAGAGGTGAACCAGAAGTCAGCCAGGATCCTGCCCACAAAGCTGGGCCACAACAAGATGAGAGGGTCAGAACACGCCACCAGAGCACCTGTTGGTCAGGCAGCCTTGCTCTCGGCACCATGAGTCACACTGGATGTCACACATGGAATGAAGATCGTGGGATGAAGATGTGCCCCAACCACAGGTCAGACAGAGACTGAAAGGCTACTTGAGGAGCTTGGCCACGTTCAGACTGGGAACTATGATTTCCCTGAAGATGGGCACATAGTTTGGATTCACCTGTGTGGAGCCCTGCTCCAGTGTCTCAATGATGGTCTGCTTCATGTCACGGCTGGCATCCCCTCGCAAGGCCAGCAGTGCGCCGATGTGGTCATCCCTGGGAAAGTGGGGGAAATGGCAGGGGTGTATGGGGGTATGCACTGAGTGCCCCCACCTCCCCACCTTCCACGCGCCCCCCCTGGCCCCTCACCCCCCATCCCTGCCTGCAGCTCAGCGGGCACTGAGGATCCCAGAACAGGGTCAATAGCTGCAGGTGAAAGACACGCCTCCCTTGTCAGATCAGAGGGAGAGAAGCCTAAGTTTGCATATTATAATCTAGTCTTTTTTTCAATCTACAATTGCAAAGATTTTTAAAGGTTGCTTTTCTAAATCTTTGTTTAATAAACGAATTAAAGCACGATGACCCTGGAGAGCATAGGACCACTGGATTTTCTGCTCACAGCAAGACCAGAACAGCAGCAGGAAAAGAAACCTGGCTGAGTTGACCCGGGTGGGTTCACAAAGGCTGGTGGGAGCCTGCAGCCAGCATTGTCCACATGAAAGCTGGAAGGAGTTCTGGCAAGCATGGCACACTGGCTCCCTTCCATGAACCCACTACAAGCACAACACAAGCTTCCTAAAACCACTGCTCAGCCACACTGAGCCTCCACCCAGCCCTACGTGCAGTCTGACCATTGGGAGCTACATGAACCATGGCAGGGCTGGCAAGAGGCCACAGAAGACATAAGCATGTCCGTTATCACTCTCAGAATCCCACTCTGCCTGCAACTATTGTCTGCATAGCTCATCCTCAAACAAGTCCAGACCTGGCACACTACTGTCACCCCTTGGGGTCATGCCTAAAGCCCAGGACCCTAGGAATGATCCTGCGGCTCCGCTCCCTGAGTTCCAGCTGAGACAGGAGGCTATTACCTGATGTCTGGGTATTTGCTGACCAGAGTCGAGACTTCAAGGTAGAGCAGGGATGGGTCTGTCAGCTTAATCACTTCTGCAACAGCGATGATCGTATCACAGTACCCGTCTGCATCTTCGCCAAATCCCTAGAAGTCAGTATGGAGGCCATGAGCAGCACGCAGCACCACCATGCCTCCAGGCAGACGCAGGCTGGAGTTTGTCAAACCCTCTCTCTGGCCAAGGATGCCTGACCAGCCCACTCCCTTCTCTCACATAAACACCAAGACTGGTTCCCACAGGGGGCCATTCCCGTGGGAGCACAGACACGGGGGTGGGGGTCTGGGTGGATCATGAAATCAGCTTAGCCCCTCATAAGGGAGGGGACATGTGAGCACTGTGTCGCACAGCTGAGGTCTGGCTACATGCTACCACCAGAAGAGCCTAGAACAGGGGTGGGCAAACTTTTTGACTCGAGGGCCACAATGGGTTCTTAAACTGGACCGGAGGGCCGGAACAAAAGCATGGATGGAGTGTTTGTGTGAACTAATATAAATTCAAAGTAAACATCATTACATAAAAGGGTACGGTCTTTTTTTTTTTTTTAGTTTTATTCATTTCAAACGGGCAGGATCCAGCCCGCGGGCCGTAGTTTGCCCACGGCTGGCCTAGAAGCTACTGCCCTGAGTGCAGGTGCCCCAACCACAGGTCAGACAGATCTGCATGCAGATCCTCCGGTTTACAAAAGTCACTTGGTTCCTGATCCTGATCAACTACCCTAAAGTCCCAGGGGTGGGAAGGAAAAGAAGTCATAGCGACACTTATTAGTGACAGTGAAGGGTATGAGGCGGTGGCACTCACAGACGCCAGCTTGCGGAACAGGAAGCGCAGCTGCTCGGCCTCCCGGACCATCCTCTCGGCGCCCTCCTTGCGCTCCTCAGGGCTGCGGAAGGAGATGCGCTTCTGCATAACAGCCCGCAGGTACTCCACCACCACGCGCCGGTGTGCCTCCGCCGTCATCCGCTGAAGAGCAGAGATGTGTCAGCCCCACGAACATCTGGGCTTCATTTTACATGTAGGTCGACATGTGAACAGAACACATTCCTTCCCATTTCCCGTCAGCACAAATGGCAGAACTTCAGAGTAAATATATTAGGTAAATAAGTACATCTGTGACTTTTTTAATTATAAATTTTACTTTAGAAAATCATAGCAGTATTCACTCTGTTTCCCTAAAGCCCAATGGTGAAAGGGAATTATGCAGGCAGGGCACAGCATTGGCAAGAGCCATGCAGATGGGCGTCCACGGAGCTGCCCTGTTCTGTACCCATCTCAGAGCACTTCACCCTCCGAGCGGAGTGGGGGTCAGTGGGAAAATAGGGAGCTGAGGCCAGGCCCCAACTCCAGCCCTCATAGGCAGACAGGCTCCACAGGACAGATGCATGAAGCACACACAATCCTCATCCACAGAGCTGTTTAATGACCAGTCTATGGAAATGGTGACAGTGCTTCAGAGGAGGGAGGAACCCGAGTCCATCCATTTGAGGAAGTTTCAGAGGAGACCATGGTTCTCTCCACAATGTGTGACACAGTGTAGATCCCAGCTTCCACCGGAGCCCACCCTTAAGCAGCACATGGGCACCAGGCAGTCATCCCGCAAGTATGTAAATCAAACTGCAATGACGTGATGTCCAACATCACAGCCCCACACCAAACAGAAGCTGTGTCTACTTGGGGAAGCTGGATGCTCCCCATCCCGTGCCAAAAGGAGGGGCCCCAGGGGCCCCAAATAAGACAAGCAGGACCGCACCAAGCACCCATATGGGGCCACTGCTGAGACCAGGGTCAGACCTTCTCAGTTTAGGCATGAACTCCAATCAGACTAGGAGACGAGACACTAAGACTGGGAGTCCGCAGAGACAACAAGCTCCCGGCTCAAGGACTCCAAACATGGGGCCGAGATCAACTGTTAAGTCAATACTCAAAATGTTCAAAGAAATAAAAAGTGGAACCAAAAACTGTGCAAGCAACAAGAAATTCAATATTGACCAGAGCTGGTCCCACCAACATCTAAGCACCAGAGGCTCCTATCAGCTGTGAAAGGACCCATGAGTCAGGTGGACTTAAAACACCTCGGTCTCCCTGCAAGTATCACTTTTAATGGCAGTTAGAAGAATTTCCTTTAAAATTAGGAATTAAACATGGATCCCCCCCTGGGCTGGGTGTCGAGTGCAACAAGACATGGAGAAGACATAAAAGCTGTAAGGATCAGAAATGAAAACACACAAGGTCACTGTTCAGAGATAAAACACCTGTCTGCATAGAGACATGAAAAGATGTGGAGACAAATCCTAGGAACAATTAGAAAATTTTACAAAGTGTCCAGATATGAGGTCAACATATCAAAAACACTTAATTTTTAGAAACAAAAAGTTAGAAAGCCTGATTTTACAAAGTAACACTTTTAATAGCAAAAACTATACAAGGCCAAGTGCATATGAGAAAGATGATCAAGCCCTTGATGAGGACATAATGGCATGTTATGCTTAAGACCTCAGACAGTGAGTAACACAGGAGCTCCCTGTTCTCACGGGGCCTCTGTGGAGTGGAAAAGGGCCGGCAGCCAACGTGCTGTGACGGGGATCTGGACAGGGGACTGCCTTTCTGCCCATCCTCTCATCAGAGCCACAGCCAGTACCCCCACCTCAGGGTCCAGGTTTTAGGCCGTGTGTCACTGTGGGTTTAGTGGGGTGTCAGGAGACAGTAGTCAGATGAATGGTCTAAATCTTCACTCAGAGGCCCCATCATCGCCACCTCCACCTTATCTTTAGACACTGATGTCTCCTACCTGCCTTAGGTTAATAAAACCACCTGGGAACTTCAATTCACAGAACTAATCTGACACTGGATTCTACACAAAATGCCATTTGGGCTCTAGGATGCAGGTGAATTCACACCATGTGAATGTGCCCCCACACTCTTACCTTTTTATACGGCTTTTTAATTTTGGCAAAATCATTGAAATAGTCTTCCACGGTGACACAGATGATGTCTACAGCGTTCGATCCCGACAGCCACTTTCTTGTCATCAGCTCACTGAGATGTTGCTAAAAAGCACAGCCCAAAGAAAATATCACCTTGACACTGTCCCCAAGTCATGTGCATGTCTGTCTGATGTACTGATGTGACAGCACCTGGTAATCACAAGCACTACTGGTGGGTGACCTGCAAGTATGTACTTTAACCACACAGGGCTCAAATGACACATACCTGTGAGATATGCAGGTATCTGTGTGTAAACATTTCACCATTGATGACTACATATACAGGGTTTGGCAAAAGTAGGTTTACATTGTGAGTATATGAAAGTTTATTATTTATTAATTATTGTTTATTAATTATTGTATTATTGTCCATGCAAACAACTGTAAATCTACTTTTGCCCCACCTTGTATTATATGAATACTCTAGTTACCCAATTCTGATGAACATTTAAAATTTTTCACATTTTGCAACTGAATAATGCTGCAGTGAATTCGCAAAATTCTGCAGGTGAAACTCCTAAAAGTGGAATTGCTCAAAAAGTATAGAAACTAAAACCTTAATTAGCTGTTTCCAAACTGTCTTCCAAAAGCTGCACAATTCATATTCTACACAGAACACGACTGTCCCTTGGCCCCAGCTGGGTGGCTCAGTTGGAGTGTTGTCCCATATACCATAAAGGTTGTGGGTTCAATTCCTGGTTTGGGTGTGTACGGGAGGCAATGGATCATTGTTTCTCTCACATCAATGTTTCTCTCTCTCTCTCTCTCTCTCTCTCTCTCTCCCCCTTCCTCTATAAAATCAATAAATATCTTTGGGTGAGGATTAAAAAAAAAAAAAAGACTGTCCCTCATATTTTGCCCTCAACAACACTGAGTGGTATCAATGTTTGCAATCTTTGTCATTTTGATAAGAAACAAATAAGACTTTTTAAATTTGCATTTCTTTGAAGATCAGTAAGATTGAACGTTTTGTTTCATATTTAGGATATTTGTGACCCTTTTACTGTGAAAAGATTACTCATGTCTTTTATCTACTTTTGGATACTGTCTTTTTTTTCATATTTTGAAATAATTTCAAATTCATACATTTCATTTGTTTTCTAAATAATTTTCGAGAAAGTAACAGACATCATGAAATTATCCCACCAATCATCCTAGGAGCTCCTTTCCAGAGAACCTGAAATAATCATGGCTTTCTATTTTAAATATATTCTGGTTTCTGCCAATACATCTGTATAATGTTGAACCATCTTTGCATTTCTGAAAAAAACCTTACTTGTTATTTATGCCTTTGATATGAAGTTAAATGCATTTTGTTAATGACTTTCTTTTGTATCTTTATTCAAAACTGAGACTGGTCTATGTGACATGCGTATGCACCATGCACGTGTTCTCAGTTTGGTTTGGCATTAAGAATGCTAACGAATATAACAGTCTCCCTGTGACATACTTGATCTAGTTTGTAATCCACTGATATTTATAGGGAGTGTCTACTCAGTTGCATAGCAGAAGGACCAAAACTCGGGCCTACACCACATAGAAAAGCCACGGCGCTTTAACTGTAACCGAGGATGAAGGCAGGTGTACACTCAGCTCGAATGCACAGCCAGAGTGCCCTACCTCCAGGTCTAGGAAGACCTCCTCCAGTAGGCTGCTGCAGCCCTCCTTTGCAATGGCATCCAGAATCCCATCCATGCTTGGCTGGCTCAGAGACACGCCTTCTTCCACTTCATTTTTTAAATACTTCCTCTTTAAACTGACTATGGATTCTCTGTAAGGGAACAGTTGAGGCTCAGTGAGGCAGCTGAGTGTTCTCACATGCCTGTCTTCATCCCCAACGACCACTTACTTGAAGGTCTGGCAGTTGTTGATGATGGCGATCATGTACTGGACGTAGCAGTGCGGGTGCTGCCGGTTTCTCAGGTGCTCCTCTTTATACAACTGAGCTTCGTCTTTGTATCTGAGGAACACAACCCACATCAAATAGCATCAGAGAATAACTGGCAGGTATTTCAAACGCCACGCTGACATCATACCTAAACAGATGTTTCACATCACTAACACTTGACCAGATGAGTCTTTAAAAAATTTTTTTGGGGGGACACTCTATACTAATAGAAGAAAATAAAGGTTGGTCATTTAAAATAAATTACTACGCCGAAACCGGTTTGGCTCAGTGGATAGAGCGTCGGCCTGCGGACTGAAAGGTCCCAGGTTCGATTCCGGTCAAGGGCATGTACCTGGGTTGCGGGCACATCCCCAGTAGGAGATGTGCAGGAGGCAGCTGATCGATGTTTCTCTCTCATCGATGTTTCTAACTCTCTATCCCTCTCCCTTCTTCTCTGTAAAAAATCAATAAAATATATTAAAAAATAAATAAATAAATAATTACAATTTAACTTCCTATCAACCCTTTGAAATAGGGGGTTAGTGTTCTGATTATACAAATATTCTGAAATATCTGATGGTGAGTAATTGAGAAAGTATTATCTTATTTATATGACATAATTCCCCTAGAAACTTATACAACAGGAACACTGTCATGTGTTAAATATAAATTAGACTCTTTAGATATCACAGAAACAAACAACTGAGATGGCTACATGCTTTATTTTTTAATTTATTATGAAGATTCTCTAACATGTACAGGAGTAGAACAGATCTTAAGAAAGGACCAAACTGAACATTGACAATTAAAGGGAAATTATTCAGTATTTATTCTACCTTTTTGTACGAAGTGTGGTTCAGGTAATCAAACCGCTGGGGCAGATGAGAAAAACTTCCTCTTTACAGAAGAATCCCATCTCATTCCTCTAACAAAATGACTAACTCAGGCTATGTTCCCCAGATGGATGGCCGATGGGGACTCTGAGGGACTGGCTGCTGGCAATGAGCCACCAGAACAGGATAGAGAAACACGCATCTCCTGATGTGCTGCCATGCGGAGCATACACACCACCTATGCAGGGTTCTTGCAGAACAGTAAGTAAAGAGGGGAATCCTACAAGTCTTGAGAGACAACCTGTGGTTTGTGGGCAGACGGCAATCTGAGACCCAGGCTGGAGGATGCTGGATGCTCTACAGCAGCGGTCGCCAACCTTTCGGACCTCACGGACCACCAGTGGTCCACGGACCACCGGTTGGTGACCGCTGCTCTACAGGACAATGTGCACATCTCCATAAGCCAATGGCTTGAAGAGGGGAAGGGACTGTTCTCCGGTACCAGAGAGCTGAGAACCCAAAAAACCACACATGATGTAGAATACCTAACTATAAAGAGATAATATGTCTGCAACCACTGGGAAAATCCAAATACAAAAGTGGTATCACATGGTCCCATGGAGTAATTGTGCAAGTTTTATATGGGTTGACAGCACTTTAGTTAGGGTAGAGAATGCAGGGGAAATGATACAACGGGATTTTCTTTAAAGTTATTTCAGCAGAGAAAGAAAGAGGGAAAGGGGAGGAGGTAGAGAGACCAGATGAGGCAAGGGCTTTAAAGGGGTAGCTTTTGAACCTGGATGATGGGTAAACAGTTATTTATGTCATTCTTCTACTTGTGCACAGGTTTGAAAAATCTTCTTCATGAACAATTCAAAGGGAGGGAGGTGTCCTGGAGGCTGTCCCTCTGAACCCCCTATCCAGGGCTGGCTCTATTGGGGGTGCCTCCCAGGGGTGGCAATTCAGAGTGACCACTGCACCTGGAGCTGTCCTCCCCACCCTAGAAAGTCAGACTAGGGGAAGGATACATGTCTCAGAAGAAGCTCTAACTCCAATCCTGCGGTATATTGACTACATTGCTGGGGACGTCACAGATCAGATCTGGCTCTCAGGGGACTGGTGAAATACCTTCAATAGGAGGGAGCAAGAAAAAGCTGCCTTTTTAAATAACAAAAGAAGGTGACTACAGTCAACCCAGGCTTAAGTTTTTTTTAATATCAGGCATATCAGGATCAACACATTTTTACTTTTAATTTTTAAAAACATAAACTTTCTAAATTAGTACACTGGCAAAAATACATACCTACTTAAGAAAGAATTCATTTGCTGAAGACACAAAACTAGTACCTTTGTTTTCAAATCTTCACTTATCTGAGCAGCAACTTGAAGATTCTGTTCGAACATCTAAAAATTGGAAAACTTATGAATTTTGACATAAATTCACAACAGCAAATGTTTCCTGTTATATAAAACCCCCATCTGCTAACTGGTAGTTAGGACAATCCAAATTCAGAGAAAAAAAAATGAAAACATGTGAAAAATAAAGTTAAACAAATAACTTTCTCACCGGATAAAAAAACAAGTGAACCATTTCCTAATCACCTGCAAACAGGCAGGTCTCCTTGAAGTGGGCAGTTGACAGGGAGATGGAGGGCCCAGAGACGCGGTGATATGGGTGCCAGGGGCTGCACTGTGATTAGCGATGTGTATTTCTTAAGAAGAATTAGGACATATATTGGAGCTGAGGGGAACCGGACTTGGAAAAACAGAAGGGCCAGCAGGCAAAGTTCAACCCAGGTCCTTGTCGTAAATGGGCTACCATGTCATACTTTCCAAATCAAAGAAAAGGTGAGGACCAATCCATGGCTAAGTAATGGTATCACCTGGAGAAAAACACCACCAACACTCACTTCTGCTGGCTAGAGTCCGCAGACAGAGTGCCATACGAATATTCCAATAGGACTCAGCCCTCCTACTGTCAGCAACTCACTCAAAGGGGAAAAATTCCATGGGCCAAAGAAAAAGAGGACACTGGGGGATACCAGCAGGCGACAGGACATTAAAAGTAAATTCATTGTAAGAATGCATGATTATCATTAAAATCTAAAGGACTCTTCCCCAAATCCATCAGGTTGGACTCAATTTTGTGATATTTATGAAGATATATCTTGGCCATTTACAATATCAGAAACTCCAAACAAGCAAACTCAAATCTGAGTGTTACACATAAATAACACGGAATTCACTTCTAGTTCAGGTAAAAAAGGGTTAGGAAAACTAAAATGACCCTGGGAAGAACTACTTGCCAGATACAACCCTCCAGTTCTTCAGCTCCAGAAAGAGAAGGACCTAAGGAACTAGGGAGCTTCTTTCTATCTTCACTATGAAATGATGCACCTTGTGTTTGTTTGTGAAACCCGCAGACCCTATTAACTAGAAATGAACCTCAGAATCTGCAGATGGTACCTGGAAGACGATGGCCGGGAGTGTTGTCTGGTAGTACCCATCTTGGTCGGCTTCAGGCTCAGTCTCTTTTATCCAGTCTTTCTTGTCTGTTTCTAGAGCTTTCCGCAACCAAGCAATGATGTTTGACTAAGGAAGTTTAGCATCAAGGAAGAAAAGAACAGGCCCCATGAGCCGAGGATTAAGTGGGGCAGCTGCAGAAACCAAACACAGCACCCTGGGAATTCCTGTTCCCAAACAAGGGAATGACAGAAAAGCCATCCCAAGAGCTAGCTCCACAGTGGTGGTGCCCTCACCACCTCCACCAACTTATCCTTTTGGAGGACAAGCTGGGTTTGTCAGACATACATGGAAGATGGAGGCAGTCCTGTCTGTGGAAGACCAGACACCAGCACTGTTACCTCCCGCGCACAGAGCCCTCCACATATCAGAACACTGTCTGGGGGGGAGGTACACCATCACCATCCCAAGAGCAGACCCTGGGGTCACCGGGCAATATTTGGTGCCCTAACTGCCACCTTCTCACTCCCAGATCAATGGTAAGAGGCTGGCAGGTGCCACCATACATCAGCAGGACGTCCTGGGGTCTTGCGAGCCTACCAGGCCCAGCCCTCCAAACAGAGACAGTTTCCATACCTTGGAATGTATACCCCAATCTTCAGATCCCGGGCCAGAGAGTGAGCCACTCTCCTCCTCTAACTGGCAAATGTACGTTTCAAGACCTGATTTCCCAAAACAGAGCCTGCGTATCCTTAGGAAGCCAATGTCAAGGCAGGGTCTCACTCCCCGCTTTGGCTCACTGGAATCAGTTCCACGATACTTGGAGACCCAAGGCCATGTCTGGGCACTAGGCACAGACCGTCTGGGACAACGCAGTGCTCTACTCACAGTGAGAGTTGACATGTATGTGTCCAGGAGCTCAGAGACCACATTTGGAGAAAGCAAAGGCTCCAGGGTGCTGACATCCACTTCCGGGGCCAGCTCCACATTTCCCATCATCTCTGTGCTACAGAAAAGCCCAGGAATGAGAGAGATTAAGAACCAGAAAAATAGAAAGTCTCAGGTAAGTGTTGCTATTTCTTTTCACACACAAATACCCAACCACCCTTAAGGAAGTCAAGAGGGGAGGCAGGAAGAGCACTGGCCAAGGAGCCCCTGTGCCCACGCCACAGGGTACTGGAGGGCCACTTAGCAAAGAAGCCCCGTGAGGGCAAGATCTGCTTGTTCCATCCACGGTGCCTCCCATGGAAGACCAGGACAAATAGGGGGTGTGGAAAAGACATGTCTATGAAACAGGAGAATAATCTCTAATGCAGAGAACACATGACATCCACAGTGAAACTCAAGTCAGCAAGAACAACGTCACCGAATCCAGTCTACTGTGCTTAAGAAAGCAGGGATGTGGACTAAGTTTCAGAAAAACGTTTTCCTATAAAAGTTAATACCTGTGTATGTGGTTGGGTTCTTAAAAGTCTAAGATTCAACTGCTCAGAAAATTCATGTGCCTTATGCTGCATTTACTAAATGTGTATTTAAACGACACTAGTCCACTCTTTATCAGAAATCCAAGTCAATCTTATAATCTTTATAAGATTATGCCAATGTCAAAAGACTGTCTACTTAACCCACATGACTTTCATCCCAAGAACCTTAATTCAGCATGAAGATGTTTGCAGTATGAAAGCAGTTCAACTCTTCCCATGATAAAGTCCACTATGATAGAATGGGATGACAATAGGAAGCTGCCCAAGAGTTCCCAAGAACAGAAAAGTGCTTACAATGTAGTGAGTGAAAAACAAAACCAACACACAAAACTGGGCATGTCACACAAACACACACTCCGCAGTCAGGTGGCTGGAGCTCAGGCGAGGGCCCAGATCTGGATTTGAATCCTGCTCCCCACTTGACTTGGGGCCACGTGAACTGGGCACATGACTCCCTGTGCTCATGTACAAAGGGAAGAAAATCATCACATGCCTTCCTCACGGTTAACACGTGTAGGCCAAGGCTGCATGGAGATGACTGACAGATGGGGCAATCATGGCAGCTGTGGACTCCCGGGCTGTGTGAGGGCAGCACCCAGAAGGCAACAAAAGCTGCAGCCACAAGGATCATCATTAAAAAGGTATTTCCTCTCTTTATATTTTTCTGCATTGAAATGTACATATTTTCTACTGTAAGACGTTACACAAACAAAAAACATCCCAAAACCTTACTGCTAAAAAAACAAGAGATTTAATTAATTTCTACACAATAGCAATAAGACTAAAAAAAAAAAAATTCCAATACAGTACTTAATACCCTGTTTTCTATTCACAAAACCATGCAAGATTAAAAATGTGTTTTCCTCTCAGCTAGCTAATCTTGAAGAAATTCAGAATACCCCACCATTGCCTCGTTTTCTAAACCCTACCTTAAGCTAATACAGGAATGAAATGGCTCATGTCACTTTTGTGAAATGACAAAGCCCCAAGGCTGAAATGGAAAAGGATAACTGATTTTCCCAACATAATGGTGAGAAGAAGAAACCAAACCTGGGGAAAGAGTGAGTTGGTGTCTCCTCACCAACCACGTGACTCTGAAGGACCTTTTGGGCCCAAGTGTCTTCTCACCTGCCAATTGAGGTGAAACCACCTGCTCAGTGTCATCTCATGGAGAAAGCAGGTTAGTACATAGTGAACACTTAGTACCACAGGAAAGTCCAAGCTGAACTGCTCAATATGGACTGGATGTCAAGGGCAGAGGCACCACCCAAACATAAGATGATTCACACAACTAGCGGCTGGGCCCGACCTCAAGGACAAGGCCCACAGATGGACTAGAAAGGCTTTCATCAACCAGAAACTAATACCTGTGGGTGCCAAGCACCTGAGAGGAGCAAAACAACAGTAGCTGTTTAGAGCCAGTCAGTATGTTTTTATAATTTCAATGTAAAAGAAAACACAAGATGTAAAGTTAGTGTTACCTCGTGTAGGTGTTTAAAACCCAAGTCAGCAGGCTCACAATCTCATTTGCTTCTAGGTCTTCCGATGCAAGCTCCTGCATCCGTATTGTCAGGGCCTGGTGGTACATGCTCAAGAGATTCCTGAAAATCTCATAATGGGGAGGAAAACACTGAACCATCAGGTTTTTTGCAACGATGAGGTCATCTAGGACGTACTTCCTTATGATTTCTAGGTGGCGAACGAGCCACATCTTGTCAGACTCCCTGGTGTCAGCCTGTGTGCCCTCGATTCTGGTAATTACAGTTTTGTCCAAGATTTTAAACATATTCTCCTTCCAATTCTTGGGCCTCCCCGGAGGAACAAAGCTAGTTTGCTTTTTTCGGTCAAGTATGCGCCTGTCAATCTTTTCTTCCCTTTCAATGATCCTGACAACTGACACCAGCAAGGTGGGGTCACGGCGGACGGTGACCAGCGACCTCTGTAGCACCATCCACAGTTGCTTTGCCAGTTCGTCAGAGAGCCCCTGCGTGCTCCCAAAGTAGCTGTGGATGAGGGACATGTCACGAGTGTTCCCACTGTCCATACGGTACTGCTCGTACATCAGCCCGTCTCGGGAGCACTCCAGGTCCATCAGCTTCCGGTGGGCCTGCAGGAGCGCCCCTTGCTCTATGAGGTCCTGGGTTTCCCTCACAATCTCTGGCACTAGAGAAAAAGGGACAAGATGAGTACGCATGGAGCAATGAGAGCAGGTATTCAACAGTGCTGCCCTCAGACACAGGCATGAGAACAGGACACATCTCCAAGGTACAGTGTGGCAGGAACAAGGCGTCCTGTGCTTTGGATTCACAGCAGTGGGCAAGTGAAAAGAACTGTTCTAGGTTACACTCAGAGGTTGAGCAGTTTGGGGAAAGACAGAAAGAACTTCCAGAGACCAAACATGAGATAAAGGCAGGGAGTGGTCAGACCACCCCAAAGTTTCTTGCTGGAATGCTGATGAATCTGACAGAGGCAAAGAGACAAGTGGAGGGACAGGCTCTGGGGGAAGCACACCAGGAGCTCCCATCACAGCACCACATGAGGAAGCTGTGCTGAACACAAAGGGAGCCCACCAGGGTGACAGCCAACACTATCCTGAATAGTCCATGGGACACTCTTCCTACCACTATGGAGGTGTTGGGAAGATTACTCTGAAAGGGTCATTCCGACACCTTCCTGCCCCCACACCAGCCCCACCAGCCCCACAGCCTCCACCAAGTCTGATTCCAACTGAGACTGAGACTCGAGAGCATGCCCTTCCCAAGCCCTCAAGGCCCCTAGCCTGTATATCCTCTTCCTGCTCCTGGGAACTGCTGCTCTCCTTAATCACCTCTCCCTCTGGGGACTACTCCCTCTGTCCTGTTCACAGGGCTGCTTCTTCTCGCAGACCACAAGCTCCTTTCAAGGAGTGGTTCATCTTTATTCTTCTGCACCCAGAAAATCCCAGCTGGTCTACTGATCTAACCACTTGAAGGAACGCAGCTCACACATAACTAATTCAGTTACCCACTTCTGTGCCTCTGTCCTGACAAGCACAGAACTACTAGCTCTTACTTGCTCAGTTGATCATTTCTATGCATGTTCAATACAATAAGCTAACTGTGTAAGCAAGGAATCACACCTACTACCAACTCTGAGACAGGTCTACACAACACACTGCACAGAGGCTGGACTGCCTCTGCATTACCCACAGAGCAAGGAAAACCAAGCAAGAGCCACGGGCATGAGCACTGGTAGCACTCTGCCCTGCGATGCCCGTGGTGCCCACTGGCCCCGCCGTCAGCCTGGCTACCTGAGAAAATGTTCTTGAGGTTCTCCACAGCAGCAGCGAGCTGGCTGTGCCGCACCACAGCATCCTTCACGTCCTTGAGGCTCTCGATGGTGTTGATGCCCTGTCTCCAGTCCTTGCTGACATCGGCCAGGGACCGCTGGATGTCCTTCACATCGTTCAGTGCATTGTGGAGTTGGCTCAGGCCTGTGCGCACCCCATCTAACTGAGACTGGATAGCTGCCTGGGGGAGACAGTGAGCAGTGAGCAGTGCTGGGCAGCCACAACAAATCTTCCCAGGAGGTTCAAGTGCAGAAATGCCATCTCAGTAGCAGGGTACAGTCAACATCCAGAGAAAAGAGAATAAAACTCAAGTACCTAATTGATTCCTAAGGGAACTTTTTCTTTTTTCCTTATTGCTGCCTTAGAATAAAACAACAATGCCTTTTAAAGCTTCTTGAGAAAACCTCACAACACTCCTACCCCAGCCGCTCTGCCTGAAGAGAATGGACACCACTGTGGGTGCGCCTTAGCTCCTATGGCCACCCCTTAAATGGTATCTTTAGAACGGGGGTGAGGAATATCCAACCCACCAGCCGTATGAAAAATCATTTGGTCTGGCCCTGCCAAGGAATTAGAGGTGAATTATTAAATGTTTGACCAAATATAGCAAAAAATTTAAAAAGCAATTTTTAAGTTGATAATTTTGAATGGCCTGCAAATGATGTTATAAATATTCAAATGGCCCTTAGCAGAAAAAAGGTTCCCCACACCTGCTTTGGACCCCTTCCATGATCTCTCAGGTGCCTGTTTCCTAACAGGCCTTATCTAGGTACAGAAAACTGTCAGGATTTGCTTATCAGCTTTAGGAACGAGGGGTCTCCTGACATTGAGCCCAAACCAGTCTCTGCTCAAGGACAGCCAGCCCCACTACACAGAACTGGTACACGTAAGATTTGGACTCACTCTTCAGGCCCACAGGAATGCCACCTAGTGAACTGTACAGTCCGAAGGAAGAGAGCATGATAGAGCACAGCAGGTGGACAGCAAGGGAAGGGAAAAAGCAGGCAGCACAAAAGAGGCCAGAAACACCTTTAACCCAGGAGTCTTAAGTGGCATTTAGAAATAAATAACAATGATTGTAACAGACCAGACAAGGTTTCTAAGTCACTATTGGTAATTCTTAGTTAATCCCACAAGCTTCCAGAACAGATTAAAATTCTGACTAAAAATGCAGCAGGTCCACATTCATTTTAAAATTTTTAAACTGCTGTTTCAAATCCATCCATGGGTTTTGGGATGCCCCCTGGGTACAAATGAATGGCCTCATCCTGTCTCATCAAGGCTGCCATTACCTTACCTGGATTCTAGTATTTTCTAATGGAGAGCTGACATTGCCAAATCAGTGTGAGAATTAACTTTCATCAAAGACAAATCCTCAAGACTGTTCTACTGCCTGTCAACCATGGCAGCCCAGGATCTTAACATTTTTATAACTATACTGAGTGTGTATATGAATGAAGTTGAAAGCCAATCCAAATCATAAAATATCTTGAAAATAATGATTTTCATTCTTGCCCCACTCCCACACACTCTTAATGTGTCTAACTCTCCTCCTCCCTTCTAACCCAGGGCCAGCAGATGCTTGGCACACAGTCAGCCTGCTATACATCATGTGCTTAAATTATCTAAATAAAATATTCTCAGGAAGCACTCTGTATAAGAGCTTTTTAGAAAAAGGAATTTAACTGTTAAAGGTTGTTACCCTGGTGTTTTCAATATTCCCAAAACCTTTTTTTAAAATATATTTTTATCGATTTCAGAACAGAAGGGAGAGAGGGAGAAAGAGAGAGAGGGAGAGAGGGCGGGAAGGAGGGAGGGAAACATCAATGATGAGAAAGAATCACTGATTGGCTGCCACCCAGTCTGGGGATTGAACCCATAATCCGGGCATGCGTCCCGACAGGAATCGAACCGTGACCTCTTGGTTCATAGGTCAATGTTCAACCACTGAGCCACACCAGCCGGGCTCTGGTTTCTTTTCAGACTGCATAACTATTCCCACAATCTTGTTTATAAATCTACTGATTGGTAATATACTGTTGGAAGGAATGTGCTAAGTAAAGGTGATGTTCCACTCTGTCTCTTTCCAGATCATCACTAAGTCTAATTTAGGAAAATTACAATAATGAAGCTAAGCAAGAACCTAAAACTCAAATAACGCTGTCCTGCCTGGGGGTGCAGCAGGTGCCTGTGGCCTCTCTGGCCTCGTACCTTCAATCTGGCCTCCACGGAGGCCTTTTTCCGGGCCTCTCTTCTGCGATACTGCTCCACTTTGTCCAGCTGGTCCGGGCGCTGAAGCATCCCAGCAACCCTTTGGACCGCTGTTGCCACAGCCTCCCGGTCTGTCTCCTTCATGGTTAAAAAGCAGGTGGGATCTCCGAACCTGACATACTCGAGTTACGTACCCTGTGTGCATGGGGGAGAGGGAACAGGAGGGGAAGATGTGTTAGACAGGTAGAAATGTTAGGTACAACCCTCCTCCCCCAATAGACAGTTGTTCATAGTGGAGCTGTAAGAAGAGCACTTGATTAATCCAGTAAGCCTGAAGGAACACTGAACTAGGATTATCAACTCCTTAATAAGAAATACAAACCTTCACAACTCCAATATGGAGAAAGTTCTACCCTGAAGGGGAGCAGAGGCATTCACAGGTATGAGATATGGACAATATTCCTGTGTGGACCCCAGACCACTCAGCATATTAGATGTCAGTCTCCAAGGCATTTCTCTTGCCCAGACAGGACCAATTTCTTATTTCCAGAGCGTTCACACCACCCCTTGGCCGTGCCAATGGGGCAGCCGCGCCAGAATGTCTTAGCGAGGACACGGAGGCACAGGGACAGCACACCTCACCACCCCAGTCGAAGTCCCAGCACACATCCTACCATTCCCCTTAAAAATCACTATTGTCGATAGCATCCAGATTTCTGCTTTCTACTATTCAACAGAGCCTAGTAAGCAACAGCCAGAGGGCACAAGGCTCAGGTGCACTGTACAGCACAAATGCTCTGAAACTAAGCAAACCTGCCTTCAACCCAGCTCTACCCACATCCTGGTCCTGGAGCCAAAAGGGAGATTTGGTGAGAGTGGCAAACCCATCTCCATGCATGTTTTCTGTCCACAACATCTCAAAAATATTAATAAGTCCCACTCTCTCCCTAAAATTTCCATTCCCCATTCCCACACACTTTCACAAAAACACTGAAATCCACGAGGATAGCCTAAGGCAGTGGTTCTCAACCTTCTGGCCCTTTAAATACAGTTCCTCATGTTGTGACCCAACCATAAAATTATTTTCGTTGCTACTTCATAACTGTAATGTTGCTACGGTTATGAATCCTAAATATCTATCTGATATGCAGGATGGTCTTAGGCGACCCCTGTGAAAGGGTCGTTCAACCGCCAAAGGGGTCGCGACCCACAGGTTGAGAACCGCTGAGTTAGGCCATTTGCCCAAACGTACACAGAGGTGTCTGGGTTTGACCACTAGGTCTGCCAGCATCCTGTGAAGGCAGGACAGTCTTTCTTCCTTGTAGAGCTCAAGGTCATCTGGGGCGACCTTGACGATGTAGGCCTGAGATTCACTCTTACTTTCTGAGTCGCTGAGGCCTCACTGGTTGGTGTGGGCAGGTAGACAAAAGGGTGTTGGCCATGAGAATAGCTGTGTCATTCCTGCTCAGAGATTTCTAGCGGGTGAGGACCGCTCAGTCCCTGGGGGTGCAGAGATGTGCAGCATCTCTCTGGCGATGTCCTTTGTCCCGGGTCCCTCAGCATCCAGCTCCGGCACCAGCCCAGATAGTGCTTTTGTGCGAATTAGATAACACTGCCCTCCTTCAGGGAGGATTTCGGGGTGCTTCTGAGTCCCCACTTGCTTCCGTGGCCTGGAGCCTTGGTCAGTGCCCAGCACTTGCTAAGCTCATTCTAAATTAGAGCCATTGGGGTCAGAGTGCAGGCCAACAGGAAGGCTGGCCTTGGAACCCCACCCTGCTGCCCACAGGCTGTTCCTACAACCGGACACCCTCCTCAGGGTTCTCACTGCAGGTAGGCACTCCGTTTGGCAGAGATAAAACCGAGGGTCCGAGTGGGGAAATGGCTTAACGAAACTTGTGGGACCCAGAACACGTGCGGGCTCTGGGGTCCACAGAGCTGGCTCCAGGGGGCAGAGCCAGAGACTTTAACTTTCTGTCCCCCTGGGTGGACACCTGCTGGCCCCTCTCTGAGCCACCTGCTGACCCCTCCTCAAGGCTCTTCCGTGGGAGGGAGTGTAGTTGGGAAGATCAGCCTGGGTTTCTCATTGTTCCCACAGCGACCCCTCTTTCCCCGCCCTGTCGCTATCTCTCAGAGATGGATCCCCACATGCATGTCTGCATATGCTGTCTGTGCAGAGGGAACCACACGTGCTTGCTTATATACACACACACCACATGTAAGCACACATACACTATATATACATGCCCACACGAACATGTAACCTCACACATGCCCACACATGCAGCAGGTATGCATGGGCAAATGCCGCACGTGCACACACTCGTGCATGTGCATGTTTGCAGGCTCGCACCGCAGATACCTGTAAGCACCCACATTCACCTAGGTGTGCACCACACACGTGCACACATGCACACAGGCCACAGTATGTTTGCACACAAGTGTGTACACACACGTGGAACACATGCATACCACACAAGCGCATCATGTACGTACTCACACATGCGTGTGTAAGCACACACTGACACAGACACACACAGACACGCACGCGCACGCGCGCCTGCGCTCTGGGGCTCCGGCTGCAGCCCCGCCGCCGGCCTGTAATTGCTCCCAGCCCTCCTTGGGCGACCTAACACTAAGCCCATCAGGGAGCACAAACAGATCAGAAGTCCACCTGGGAGCAGCCCACCTGGGACTGGCGATCACGAAATGGAACAATGCTGAGCTGAGACATACATCATTTCATGGTTACGTCGCCATCTCCCATTTATTTATAAGAAAATAAATAAGTTCCGTCATTTTGATGTATGTACATATATGCTTTGTTTTTTATTATTTATTTACCACAAGTAAAGGTCAGGAATTGTTATCTTTCTTTTAAAATTTTTTTACTGTTTCACTTCATTAAGGCTGTGTATGTGCTCCATGTGAGTGACATAGGTGCTTATGTAGGTGGGTTCCGACTTACAGCGGAAATCACGTTACATTGCACCATAGGAACGGATCTCCAACGTAACCCGAGGACCTACTGTACATAAAAGGCTAATATGCTGTGTCCGACCATCCAACTGGTCACTATGATGCGCACTGACCACCAGGGGGCAGACGCTCAACGCAGGAGCGGAGTGAGCCTGATGCCTCTCAGGGCTGCATGATTCCACCTTCGGCTGTCGGTTATGTTGTTGCTGGGGCACTGTTGGCCCTGAATCTGAGTGCTAAAGAACTCCTCCGTTTGTACACGATATGCTTTCTCATTTCTCTTTCAAATGGAACTATATTGCAACCACTGCCTTTCCTTTTTATTTTTCTGATTATGAAGTTATGGGCACCAATGCAGAAAACCTGAACAGGCAACCCGCCGTCCGTAGGCAGGCCCTTCGTCTTCCCTTTGCATCCCGAAGTTGCATCCACCTGCGTACATAACCCTGCGTTTGCTTTGGTTTCTTTCGCTTTGACATGTTTGCGGCATTTCTAGCGACATGAACACCAGCACGATTTTCACTAAGGGGCGGCGGTCCGACAAGGAGGGGCCTCCAGCGGTCGCAGGTGCGCAGAGCGTCCGTCCGCGCCTCGGGGGGGGGATGTCGGAGAGCCAGTTTTGGCCCAATCCCCACAGGCCAGACAGAGGGACCCCACCTGCCGGAGGGACCCCCCACTCACTCCGCAGATGCCAGGAGGTTGGTTTCAGGGTGTGTCTGGCCCATCTCGCCCAGTCCCACCCCGCTGGCCACCTTCTAATTAATTTCCTTTCAATGCTCACGAATCTGTGCACTGGCTCGCTAGTGTGCTAATAAGGTTTCAGGGCTTGTCTGTTGTGATGAGAAGCACTATTTGCCTTAACTCGAACTGAAGAGGAAAACTTTCATGGTTACCAACTACTAGACTACCCCTGGGCACCTTCTGAAGTCAGCCGAGATGGTACAAATAGGGCAGAGTCCTGAACAGGCGGGGATTGGATCTGGATGGGAGGAAGGGTGAGGGCAGCAGCACAGGAGATGGGTGCCTGCACACACACATGGGAACACACACATGCACGCACATGTGAGCCCACAGACACACAGGCACACACCTAGGTGCACAGCGGGGGGGCGGGGCAGGAAGATGGAGATGTGTGAGCCCCCACCATTGCAGGGCAGCACAGGTCACAGCTGAGGAGGGGCAGTATCTCATTATTCTGATGGCTGGTCCCTTTATTATTTCATCTGTACCTAGTAATTGTGAAAATATAGCACTAAGTCGAGCAGTGAAAAATGTAAACAAAAAATTAAAATTACATTTTAAGTTAATAATTGTAAAGGCATTTTGAAACTAATGAAGCAAAATGTGCCAAAATGGTCAAAGCTTTTAGGACTGTCACTTTAAAAAGTAGCAACATTGAACAATAATGGGAAATGGAGTCTCATGCTATCAGTGTCTGTGTTTGGATGCAGGGCTCCCTCAGGACTCCTTCACCCGCGCTGTGGCCCGCACGTCCTCGGAAGCCCGAGCTGACTTCCGGGTGCGGGACCGCCAGGCCCCACCCCGTTGGGGTCTCCCTGTTCAGCTGCTGCACCTGTCCGCCCGGCTCAGGGCCGGGTGGCGGATGTTCAGTAAATAGGCGTCACGTGTGCTACCCCACGCTGTCTCTCAGCAGCTTCTTCGTGAGCTGTGGTCCTTGCGCCCTGAACCTGACGTGAACTAGGTGTTAGGTTTGATGGAGCAATTGAATGGCTACCCCTCCCCCAGGGAACTGGCTTTTCAGGCCATTTCACTATGGACGTTCCCTTTGCAGAGACCTCATTTCACTTGCAGCGACCACATTCCATGATCTTCCCTCCGGGTGTGCACAAAGAATTCTCTGCCCAGAAAAAGCCCGCCAAAAGTTCTTCAAAAGCTGCTGGCTCCCCTCACTGGGTGCTGGAGCCATCCAGGCTCAGCCACCTGGGGTGCGGATGATCGAATAAATTCGTAATCCCTCACTGTTCTGGTCTCCTGCGTTCCTCCTTGGGCGACCTAACACTAAGCCCATCAGGGAGCACAAACAGATCAGAAGTCCACCTGGGAGCAGCCCACCTGGGACTGGCGATCACGAAATGGAACAATGCTGAGCTGAGACATACATCATTTCATGGTTACGTCGCCATCTCCCATTTATTTATAAGAAAATAAATAAGTTCCGTCATTTTGATGTATGTACATATATGCTTTGTTTTTTATTATTTATTTACCACAAGTAAAGGTCAGGAATTGTTATCTTTCTTTTAAAATTTTTTTACTGTTTCACTTCATTAAGGCTGTGTATGTGCTCCATGTGAGTGACATAGGTGCTTATGTAGGTGGGTTCCGACTTACAGCGGAAATCACGTTACATTGCACCATAGGAACGGATCTCCAACGTAACCCGAGGACCTACTGTACATAAAAGGCTAATATGCTGTGTCCGACCATCCAAC